CCCAAATATTTTTAATTATGACCACCCACATTCCAATGAATGGAATAACTTCCTGGAGAAACGTTTTTTTTAAAAAAAAACATATTTTTTATAATACCCCTCTGAGTAAGACTCTCCAACTCTCCCTCTGGTAAGGTAAAAGATTTTAATAATTTTTTAGGCAAGGAAAACTTGTTAAGCCATCTGTCATTTTGCAGTTGAAATGTAGCTGCCATGTGACTGTTTATGTAAGTTTTTTGCCTTTTCTTTCACCCTTTCTGTCTCTGACCAGTGGATGTAGTTGGAGGAAGTTATCTCCAGGCAATGTTCTATTCCACCCCAACTAAACAGGAGAAAAAAGGAAGGATTTACTAAATAAATTTCCTTAAGAGCAATATAAAATTAAATAACTATACAGTAGACAGCTAACTTAGAAATGATAAAATGGTTGTAAAATAATTGAAATGGTCCATGTGATATATTTATTAAATACCACACAAATATTTGAATTCCAGTTTTGGGTGGTATCAAATATAATGAAATACAACAGTTAGATGGCTACGAAAATATGGTATTAATATGACTAGTGCCCCCAGATTATTATATCAATCATAATTTTGCACATAAAAATTTATCAATGGACTGGCTGGCTCTGTGGTGTGGAAGTTTTAGCCTCCTCCTGCACTGCCAGCATCCCGTATGGGCATTGGTTCAAATCCCGCTGCTCCACTTTGAATCCAACTCCCTGCTAACATGACCATGAAAGAAGCAGATGGCCCAAGGACTTGGGTCCCTGCACCCATGTAGGAAACACAGAAGCTCCTAGCTCCTGGCTTCTGCCTGGCCCAGCACCAGCCTTTGTGGCCATTTGGGAATGAATCGATGGATAGAATGTGAAAGTCTCTCTCTCTCTCTTTCTCTACCTATCTATCTCTATCTATATCTCCCTCTCTCCCCTTCTTTCTCTATATATTTGCCTCTCAAATAAATAAATCTTTTACAATAATTTGTCATGGGGAATTTTTAAGCAAATTCCTCAAATGAAATGTGGGTCCTCCAAAGGAATTGTGAGACTTTAGACTGTCTCTGCTCCTGATCCATATGACCACCTGCCTGGGCCCTGGCCCTGTCAGCATCATGTGTCGGAACTAATCCAGTGCAGCAAGTATACCTTGGAAGCTTCAAAACTGGAAGCTAAATAAACCTCTTTTGTCATCAGGAGTAGCCCATGTTAGGCATTTTACTTATTGTAAAGATTTATTTACTTATTTGAAAGGCGGAGTGACAGAGACAGAAAGACAGATATATCTTACATCCACTGGTTCACTTTCCAAATGATCAAAACAAGCCCTGGTTGGAATATCCTGAAGTCAGGAGACAGGAACTTCATTTCCATCTCCCACATGGGTAACAGGGACTCAAGTACTTGAGCCATCATCTGCTGCTTCCTTGTCACATTACCAGGAAGTTGGATCAGAAGCAGAGAATCCCACACCTGAACTGTCATTCAGATATGAGATGTGTCTTATGCTGCAGCTTAACTCACTGAGCCACAACACCCTCCCCTGTGTCAAATATCTTGCTATAATGATGCAAAGCTGAATACTGCAGATATTAATTGAGGACTTTAGGTTTACTAAATTTTTTAACTGATCAGAAACTTCATAGCAACTTTAGGAAAAAAATTATATTAGAAGAGTATGGTGGTTTATAAAGAAAGCAGAAGAAATGAAGACAGACTTTATTTTTTGTTGCCACTCCAATACAGAAAATGTAGTTGGATAGTGAGAGAGAGAGACAGAGAGAAAGGTTTTCCTTTGCCGTTGGTTCACCCTCCAATGGCTGCCGCGGCCCGCGCGCTGCAGCCGGCGCAGCGCGCTGATCCGATGGCAGGAGCCAGGTACTTATCATGGTCTCCCATGGGGTGCAGGGCCCAAGCCCTTGGGCCATCCTCCACGGCACTCCCTGGCCACCTCAGAGAGCTGGCCTGGAAGAGGGGCAACCGGGACAGAATCCGGCACCCCAACAGGGACTAGAACTCAGTGTGCCTGCGCTGCAAGGTGGAGGATTAGCCTAGTGAGCCATGGCGCCAGCCAGTAATATGTTTTTGTATGAGGGAAAGCTAGCAAGTTTTATGAAATAACCTTGGAATTTCAGCTATGATCCAAGTCAGAAGAGGAAGGCATTTATTATTCATACCTTAAATGCCAAGAACCTTCCAAAAGAGTGGGCATTGTGATACAGCCAGTTAAACTGCTGGTTGGGACATACATCACATACCAAGAGTGCCAGTTTGAGTCTTACCTATTCCATTTCTAATCCAACTCTCTGCTATTGCACCTGGGAAGACCAGAATGGAGAGACTGACTGAGCTCTAGTACTTATTGATATTTTGGGAATGAACCAGCAGATGGAAGATCTCTGTCATTCTGCCTTTCAAATAAATTAATTAAAAAAAAGAAACTACTACAAAGAACTCTCAAAAATTAAGATCAAAATACATTCCCTGCTACTGCTCTACCCAAGGTTTAAAATATTTATATCTATGTTCAAAGCAAAAATGAATACTTATACCTGGAGGTGGAATTCTGATATTTTGCAATAGTACATTTCTTTCAGTTGAAATGATAATACTAATGTTAGCTATTTGAATGCAATGTTACATTGCTGTAAATGGATACAATTATGGAAGATTTATGATACTTCACATGTCAAAAGATAGCTTACTTTGATCTGGATTGTGATATTTTTATAGTTAAAATTTTAAGTGGATGTTTTATTGTACTTGGCAAATTTATGTTTGAAGCAGTGTTTTGTGAAAATTATTTCTAGTTGTGCATTATTCTATCTGATACAACTCACTTCAAATTATTTGCAATCAATTGTATTGAATTGCTAAACCATCAAGATATGCTTTGTTTGTAGCTAGATATTGTCTTTTTGAAAAATATTTTGTAAGTATTACTTACTGTTTTTCCAAGAACAGGCAGTGCCATTTATATGATATATATGAAATAATATAAGCCAAAGTTTCAAGCCTTAAGTTATCTTAGACATTTTACTACCCTCAAGACATTTTATTTTTGATTCACTGTTTTCATTAAGTTCTCTTTCCAACAATAGTGTTTAACTTTAATGCCATTTATTCTTTACTTGTATCTGCTCTGAAGGGATTCATTTCCACTTGGTTCCTGCCTTATTGTCATCTGACAGTTTTGTTTTGTTTTAACTTCACAGAAGTTGACTTTTAATTTTTTTCTTCAGTTCTATACAGACAATACATTTACACAAATTTAACAGAAAATTTAGAAAAAATACATTGAAAACATCCTGTGTGACACACAGAAATGTCAATGTAACTCTTTTATGCTACATGATTTTATTAAAATAAACCTCAATACAAAAATAAAATGTTCTATTTATTTATAAGCAAGAGTAGTGAACAAGACCGATAGAAAGTTTTAAGATCTCTACTAAGAGGAGCACATTGTGGCACATTGGGATAAGCCCCTGCTGTAGATGTTGGTATCACATATCAGAGTGCCCATTGGAGTCCTGCTACTCTGATTCCCATCCACCTTCCTGCTAATGCATGGTGGGAAGCCGCTGATAATGAATCAAGTTTTTAGGTTCCTGCCACCAAAAGGAAGACCCAAATGAAATTCTTAGCACCAACCCTTAGCCTACCCCAGACCTTTCTTTCGCGCCTTTTGGGGTGTGAACCCGTGGATGGAAGATCTCTGTCTCTCCCACTCTTTCTCTCTCTCCTTGTGTCTCTTTCTCTCCCTTCCCCATTCTCTGTCATTCAATGTAAATTTTGAAGAGAAACCTATTAAATAATAAATTGAATTATTTTTGTTGAGGGTATTTTGATTCTGCATGTAATATATAAAGAAGTATATTTCCTGTCTATTAGAAGAAATGCATCATGTTGAAATGCATCATTAGGAGAAATAAATTTCAGTTTATACTTAGGAAAAAGTAGGCTGTTTTTGTAACTAACAGCACTCTCACTTTCATGCATACTAATATTATGTAAAGCTCAATATAGTTTATCCTATTTGATATTAATTTGGAGATATAGAAGACAAAAGAAAGGGTTACCAATTTTGTCAGACTCCATCACATTTTCATTTTTACAATTTCACAGTTGGATGGGTAGATGCTGGGAGTTGCTGACCCAATGAGATACACTGCATTATTTCTTGCTAGGAGCAACTAAATTCTTTTTCCAAGGGGTCAATGTGCTCACTTTGAATTATTCACAGACCCTTTGCTAGATGCTGGCCAATGGACTTAAGACGAATCATGTTGTAGAGAACTAGAGAGACTTTTGCTTTTCTGATAAAAAAAAAAAAAATTGAAGCTCTCTCTACTGTTTTCCTTTCTTAAAGCAGACATTTACTGTGGTTACAGAGGTCAAAGAATGGCAAAAAGAACATGAAAAGCAAAAGTCAGTATATTATGGGTGCCAGAATATTGAGAGAGAATGCAGTAGAACTTTTTGTGACTTCATTAAAATTTCAGTTAAAATATACTACATTCTTAGTCATGATTGCCACAAACTTAGGATAAATTATAAATTGGATAAGTAGGAGGAAAAAGTAAGACTTGTTAGAATCAAACTGCATCTTCCCAAAAGACTTATGTCCTAACTCCCAGCACTTCAGATTGTGATTTTATTTAGAGATAGGCTCTTTACAGAGGTAATCAAATTAATGTGAGGTCAACAGAGTGGACTGTAATACAATAAAACTGGTGACATTTTTAAAGGCGGAAAAATCTGAACACAGAGTCAAGTTAGCACACAAAGAAGGGCTTGTGGAGATTGGGGGTATGGTACCAGATGCCAAGGAAGTGCTGGAGTCCAAGGAAGAGCCTGCAACAGCTCTTTCCCCAGTATTTTCAGAGGCCACCGTGCCTTCATTTCACATTCTTGACTTTCAGAACAGTTATACAATAAATTTCTTTTATTCTAAACCATCCAGTTTGAATTACTTGGATTCACCAGCAAAGTAATATAATGCTTATGTATTAAAAGTAGAATACATTTTATTTAATCTCTAAATGGGTATGGTGAGTTTTTAAGACAAATCTTACTAGTAAAAATCATTTAGCTGGTAACATTATCCATATACAATAAAGGTAATAAAGATAAGTCTTTCTAAAATAAGTCCCATGTTAAATCTCGGATTTCAAGAAAGTCTGTAATAGGAAATCAGCATTTGTTCATTAGTTTCCCATGGTCTTTGATAGCAATGAAATATCTTTAAATTTCAGTCCTTTCACAGTACCATCATCAGATCAGTTTACTTTGATGTCTTTATAATGCATTCATCTAATCTATTCTCAATCCATGCTTTTTATTCATTCAGCATAACAATATCACATGATTTATCTTTTGAAATAAGGTGATTCTTTTCTCAAACTGGATATGATTCACAAATTGCTTTCTTCAGCAGAGGGAAAAGTGAGCTCATTTCCTGCCAAACAAAGTAACTGCATCAAAAGAGAAGAGACATATTAAGATGGTGCAAGTTTTACCTTTTTACAGAAAAGAATATGGCATTACAGTCTCTTTTGTTATGAAGGTTGAAAAGGCAGAGGTCTAATGTTCATCTATTCCAGGATGACAGGTAAACAGTTAAACATTTAAATAATGGAGACATTCTACTTTGTATAACCTTGGCTAGAATAAATTCTAGGAGAATTTAAGAGTAAATCATATTGTTCTACATAAATCAAAATTCTGGGGACACATTATTTCATTAAGTGAGTTTTCTTGACAGTGAAAAATTCTATTACATCATATTAATACATGAGGCATATTAAACTTTTAGACATGCTTTGCAAATGCATTGTTAAGTGACAACAAAGGAAAGGTAGACAATTATATATTTTCCTAAATTGGGACATCTAAGTTTATAGTTGTTTTCATAAACTATTGACTATATACTATTTCTGTTTGGAAGAAAATGAAAAGGATGTGTCTTTAAACAGGTTTCCACTTCTCTTATAAGCTTGTTGGGTCTTGTATAGTTGTTTATCAGGATGATTCCACAGAATAAAGCATAGATAGTGCTACAACATGTTCTAGTCATGGAATAAGCAATCTTTTTTTTCCTGCTAAGGCCCAGATAGTAACCATTTTAGACAGCACAGATACAAGAACTCAACCTGACTTAAACAATATATAAACGAATAAGTGTGGCTCTGTTCCACTAAAACTTAATTTATGCACAGGGAAATTGGAATGTCATATAATTTTCATGTCACTAAATATTACTTCTCTAATTTCAACCATTAAAATATTTTAGAGGGGCTAACATTATGGCATAGCAGAAAAAAAGACAGCCTGCAACGCTGACATCCCATGCAGTCATTGGTGTGTGTCCCAGCTGCTCCACTTCTGATCCAGCTCCATGCTAATGTCCTGGGAAAAACAGCAGCAGATGGCCCAAGCATTTGTACCCCTGCTACCCATGCTGGAGACCTGGATGGAGATCCTGTCTTCTGGCTCCAGATTTCCCCAGTGCTGGCGCTTGCAGTCATCTTGGGAGTGAACAAGTCAGTGGATGGAGGATCTCACTCTCTGTCTCTCTCTCATAGTAATTCTTTCAAAGTAAATAAATAAATCTTTGAAAAAGTATATTTTTAGAAAACCAGTCTTAGCTCATAAGCCCCTCATGAGAGACAGCAGACCAGATTTAGCCTGTGGGCTGAGTTTGCTGACAACTGTGGTAGAATATTGCATCCCAGGCACTCACACAGCTCATTTCTTTGTGCCTTCTTCAAAGCACTAGAGCATTTTTTCATTCAAGCTTATGTTATCTGGGCCAAAATTCATGTATTTTTAGAAAGGATAAAAAAGAAAAATAGGAAATATTGCATGAATTATACATTTATATTAAAATCTATTTTACAATGTCATGATATTAAAATTATACAGTATACTCTAATGAATTTTATTTTTCTCTACCCTATTTTTTGCCCTGTAGATGCTTGAATGAAATCTATTCTTTTATCTTCTTGATATACATGCATTCTTGAAATTTTGTTAAAATTGAAATAATCCATTCTACCATGGAAAACAAAAAACAGGAAAAGCTAATTTATCCATTTAATCATATTTAAAAGTGTGTCAAAGTGGTATTATATGCAAGAAAATTAGTGGAAATAAAATGTTGAACTAGGAGTCCTATGTATTGTTCTGAGCAACTTGACACTTTAGCTTGACTTTATGCTTTCATAATAATCTACATTGAAGACCTGTAGTTGTGTTATCATTTGTTTGTAGCGTTTTAGTTTTCTATTTTTTTTGACAGGTAGAGTTATAGACAGTGAGAAGAGATAGAGAGAAAGGTCTTCCTTCCGTTGGTTCACCCCCAAAATGGCCGCTACAGCCATCTGAATGTATCATGAATCTTCCTATTTACTTCAAAAAACAAACAATGTGCATTATTAGAATTCATGATATAAACAATCATATTCTCTCTCTCTGTCTTAAGCTCTACATATATATGCTATTAGCTTACTCCACCTCAACAATAGTACAATATGATACAGTGTTAATAGTCATATAATGGCAGTAACAGAAAATTACATTTTAATTAGGAGGATGTGCTCAGCAGCCACTGACTCTGGACCATGTAAGATGGGATTTGAAAGGTATCCCTCAGCATCAGCTGTGGTGCTGTTTGCTGGGGTTTCTTTCTAGCTTCTTAAAAAAAATTATTACACTTCCTTTGCAAAGTGGAGAGACAGATATCTCCTGTTCACTGGCATACTCCAAATAGCTACAATAGCTAGGACGGGGCAAGAATGAAACCAGGAGCCTGAAACTCAGTTCAGGTCACATTGATGGGTGTCGGGAACTCAACTGCTTGATCCATCACCACTGCTTCTCAGAGAGCACATTAGCAAGAAGACGAAATCCAGAGCACAGACAAGACTCAAACTCAGGCATTCAACTATGGAATGCAGATGTTCCAAGTAGTATCTCAACTACTGTGATAAATGCCAGCCTCTGTATATCATTTTGTTAAGAGCTGAAGTCAGATTGTAGCAGAATGAACAGAGAACAGAGCAGGAGGAATTATGCTATGTAGGTGATACTCTGAAGGGGTTTGAATATGGAAGGAGAAAGAGTGTATAAAGATGGACTTGGATAAACAGGGTGGATGTCTTTCTTTTCTCTCAGTTTACATACAATTTTGCACATATTTGACATTAAATAAAAATCTGACATTATAGCACATTTCTTTTTATTGTGAATGATAGACTATTGTATGTTAATTTATTAACCTGGAACTCAACAGTATGGGCCATTCGTGAAAAAAATGCAAATATTCCTGTAAAATTGTGCGGGTGTGTGCGTACTAAGTTTTCAAACTAATTGGATAAATATGCAGAAATATGATAGTTAGATTGCATGGTCATACTCTGATTGACTTTGTAAAAATCTGCCTCACCCATTCTTCTCAAATCCCCCACACCTTTTCTGTCCCAATCCCACCCCTCTCCTATGCATTGCTGAAACTACTCCCAGTTTGATGCAAGAGAAACTGCAACTTCCATGATTTAGCAACATAGAGCCAGCACCAGCTGTAAAAAATTCAACATGGCTGCAGCTATGTCCTTATTATGACTCTTAGGTCATTATAATATTACAATAAAATTACCACATCCAACACAGCCACTTACATTATGCAAATGATGCCAAGAAATTTCCTAGATTTCAAAAAAATGGGTATATCAATAGGTGGTACTCAAGCCTCACCCTGAAACTCAACCTACTTTGAATACTCATTTAAGCAACACCACAGACACCACTCTGCATCCAGGTAGGACTGATGGCACCAAATCTTGACTGCAGCTTATTCTCTCTGGAGTTTGCCCACATTGTTACTTCAACGTGTAGCTTTGCTTCAAATGAATTTTGTTTCTCTGCATTTATTATGTCTCTTATTCTTTTCAATTTTTATTCTTTCTCACATGGAGACAAGATCCTGGACCAAACCAACTAGTGTCCACTTCATAAAATACCAGTAATAAGTACAATTTCTCATTGCTGTGCATTTTCACTTAGCATTTTGTTTGTCAGGTTTTTGTTTGTTTGCTCATTTGTTTAGATATTTTAATAGATACATGGTGGAATCTTGCTTAGTTATTTATTTAAAATTCAGAGAGAGATTATGGGGGTGATGGAATAGAGGGAGAGAGAGAGAGATAGAATGAGAGTTCTTCCAACTGCTGGTTCACTCCCCAAATAGCTCCAACAGCCTGGGCTGGGTCAGGCTAAGGCCAAGAGCCTGAAACTTCACCCATATCTTCCATGTGGATAGCAGGGGCCTAAATACTTGGGCCATCCTCTGCTGATTTCCCAAGCACATTAGCAGGGAGCTAGATAAGAAATGGGCATCTAGAACTTGAACCAGCCCTCACACGGGATGTTGGCCTTGAAGGGAATGGCTTAGCTGGCTGTGCTGGACCCTTGTTGTTTTAGTAACAAAGCATGAAAATATTTTTGTATTATGTAGCATAAGTACATATGTTGTTTTGTTGAGAAGTACTTGCTCAAATCTTTTGCTTATTTAAATGGGGTATATGTTTTCAGAATGCTGATGATAGGTTTCTTTCATACTATTTGTTGAACTCTTTGCTTAGTATAGAGTTAATCTTATGTGTATAAAGTTAACTGAAAATAGATCTTAGTAAAAAATAAATGGGAATAGGAGAGGGAAGAAGAAGGGTGGGAGTATGGGTAGGGTAGGAAGAATCATTATGTTCCTAAAGTTATATTTATTAAGTGTCTGAAGTTTGTCATACCTTAAATAAAAGATTTCTGGGTAAAAATGTTGAATGTTACATATTCTTTGAATATTTATCATACAAACATCTTGCAAATATTTCATCCTAATCTGTGGCTCTTTTCTTATAAACAATAAATGTAGCATCATCAAAATTTTCAATTTTAATTAATAATAGCTTATAAATATTTTTATTTCATGGACTTCCCTTTGGATGTTATGTCTAATATATCAACACCAAACCCAGACTCATCAAGGAGTTCTCTGTGTTTTCTTTGACATGTGCTACAGTTTTGTATTTTCCTGAAAATATTTGACACACACACATAGTTCTTTTTTTTCATAATATAGATTTCCATGAACTTTTTAAAATAGTTCTTGCACCTATGATTTCAAGTTTTTGCAAGCAAATATGTTAATTTTAAATTATATTTTCAACAAACTATTTGCAGTACCCTTATATATATCACCATTTATATGTAGTTCATTCTACTATTTTGCCAAAAATATAAGAGAGTTCTAGCTGCTCCACTTTCCGCTCAACGTTTTATGTCTATCAGCTTACTCTGAAACTATTCTGGACATCTATTATTATTTTGTTGTGGTTAATGTGCATTTTGTTATTGAAAATGAAATCTTTGGCAACTTTCATTGAGTTGTCCTTGTGATTTTTCTTGTTGATTTTCAAGAGCTCATTGTGTTTTCTGGATGTAATTACTTTGTCACATGTGTGCAATGAAAATAGGTTTTTCAAGATGTAACCTTAATGAAGTCTAATTTCTCACTTTTTCCTTTTATTGCTAGTTTTTTGTGTTTTAAGATCATAAAAATACTACATGGTTTCTAGAAATCTGATTGGTTGACCCTCTATTTATAGGACTATAATATCTTGAATTAGTTTGATATAAGAGGAGGTCAAATTTTTAATTTTGATTGTGATTATAGCTATATAATTGACCAATTATCATATATTGAAAGTACTATTTTATTGAAGTGCAGTGGATCTTTGTTCCAAATGAGATGAATGTATATGTTCAAATCTTTCTCTGAACTTTATTCCATTCTACTGGTCTATTTGTTTTTCAGCAAAACACAGAAGCTTTATAATAAAGTCTGATATACAGCAGCAGAGATCTTTGGCTTAGCTTGGGTTTGCTTTTCTTCTCTAATATTGCCCTAACCGTTCTAGGTCTTCTATAGTCCTGTATGAATTTAGTATTCATGTTCTGAGTCTTCTGTCGCAAAGGGTTAAGCTGCCTCTTGGAATCCCCACATCTCATAACCGAGTGCCTGAGACTGAATCCCAATTCCACTTCAGATTCAGCTTCCTACTAATCTATACCACAGGAGGCACCAGATGATGGTTCAAGTACTTAGGTACTTGCTTCTAACATGGGAGATCTGATGGAGTTCTTTGTCCCTGGCTTTGGCCTTTCCCACTCTTGGCCTTTTCAGACATTTGGGGAACAAACTGGAAGATGGAAGATTCTCTCTCTCTCTCTCTTTCTCATTTCTAGCTTTCAAATAAATAAAATACATTTTAGATCTTAGAACAGAATAATTTAATTTTCAGTTTGCATAAACATATACACACTTTCTGAATACTCTTGCTTTTACATGATTTCAATGAGAAACATCAGGGAAAATGTAAACTGCAGGGTGGCACTGTCAGTGTGTGAAGCCACTGCTTGTGACACAGGCATCACATATTGGAATGTCAGTTCAAGTCCCAGATTCTCCACTTCTCAGGCAGCTTCCTGTTAATTTGTATGGAAATGCAGCAAATCATGGCCCAAGGATTTATCCTGTCATAATTGCAGAAGACTCAAATTGGTTTGATTGACTATTGGCTTCTATCTGGCCCAGACTTGGCTGCTTTGGCTACTTGGGAATGAACCAGAAGGTGGAAGATCTTGGTCTCTCCATTTCTCCATCTCTCTATCACTTATGCCTTTCTTTTAAAAAAGAAAGAAAAATACAAATGGCTTTTTCATAAAATATCATAAAACACTCTCAACTTCTGATACCACATTATTTCAATTTGTTAGTTAGCTGGCTCTTCTCAGGCTTTTAGACATTTGTATGCCCATTTGTATACATTTAAAAATTGAATGTGAGGCAAGGATCTTTCATTCCTTCATTTTCCTTAAGTGTAGCATTTTGTTCACATGCTAATATTGAAGGATTTGCATATCTCTCCATATTAAATATTAGAATGGCAACCATATTCCTGATAAGGAATTTTACAGCATCTTGCAGAATCCTGCAGAGATAGATCTCATCAGTCTATTTGCATTTCTAAAATCTGTTGGAAATTTTCTATGTTCCTGTAACAATTTATACAAAAGCAAATCCCACTTCTCTGATTTCAGAATGCTTCAGCACTGCTTGGAATTAGACAATAAGGACTTGCAAATGTCCCAAATGAAGACACTAAAATTAACTGTTTCACAATTTTAGCACAAAAATATCATCATATACATTTGTTTTCCAGATGATAGCTTAAATTCAGAATAGAAACTCTGTTTTTGTTTGTTTGTTTGTTTCTGTTTTGATTCCATGACAAAGGCTGCTTATTCATTCTAAATTTACTTATGGAAAAGCACTCAAGATACCATTCCCTCCATAAGATAATTTGTTAAAGATTACCATAATCTCCACCAAAAATAAGGAGCACTTCTTGATGTGTAAGTGCTAATAATAGTAGAAGTTTAAAATAAGCAAGGAAACAAATCCTTACCTTGAATACATCTCTGTTGTTAAGTGTGATGAAAGGACAATAGACACAGTTCTGTTCTGGGGAAATATCACAGGATTAGTCTTAAGAGGGTGGTAACAGGTCCATGAGAACATCTTCAAGAGGTAAATAGTAAAATGAAGTTTTGAATGTGATGAAATGAAAATGTACATTAGGTAATCATCCCTTAAAAAAGTAATTTTTAACCTCCTTCTAACTTTTTAAAAATCTTAATCTATTTCCTTTCTTAAAATTCCTAATTGTGAGCTACTTGATTAAAATAAAAAGAAACTCTTCTAAGACACTTCTATGTACTTTAATCTTAAAATCAATTTAACATAGACTAAACATTAACACCACAAAATGAGTTAAATTTTTTCAAAATTATTTGGATAATTTTCTTTTTATGAATCCTAATAACATTCTATTTTTATAAATTTCTTTTTCATAAAGCAATGTTCTCTTTATAAAGGCTTATATGGGTACTGGCATGTTAATTTAAGCCAAAAGGGAATTTAATCAATTTGTGCTTAGCTTAGCTTAGGTAATTATTTCATTTACTTTATAATTATTATTTCTGAATATAGAATATTCATCATCCAAGAAAAAGTTAAAGCCCATGAAATTTAATTATCATTGAGCTTCAGACATGATGCAGCTAGAGGATTGAAGGTGTTTTCTATTGGATATGTGTGCCTATTTAACTTTGAATTTCATAGAAAATATTATCTTAGTGCACATGGTTAATTCTCTTTGTCTTATTTTTCTAATGATAGCAAGTTACTTTTCTCAAAGAGAGCTTCTAGAAAACACCAACATTTCAAAATATTAATAATTAACAAAATCATACGGAACACATAAAATTTATTATAGCAATGGCTATGAAAACTCTTATACAAATGTATTGTACTCAATTATGTACCAACAACTTGTCTCTCATTTTACAGAGAGAGTTGTAAAGCAAGAAACTCAGAAGCAATACCAAACCATCTGACCCCTCGTCTGCTACGTATGAAAGTTCTCAAATGTATATCATCTTCCAGGACAGTGCTGATTTGATTCTTCTTATCAGAATACACTGTATTTAGTTGTGATTGTACTCTTCAAGATCCCTGATGGCTTGAGCATTCTTCTTGTCTCTATCTTGCTACCTCAGACAAATGTGTGTTACCTTTCTGACTTTTAGAAGCAAAGACAAATGTCCCACAGTCCTACATGGGAAATTTTCTTTTTTTTTTCTTTTAACAGGAAAAAAAAGGCTTTAACTTTATTTAAGAGTTCACTTTTAAGAGAGATTATATCAGACACAATACACTGTACTTGGCAGGAAACTCATTAATTTCTGTTCAGTTGATCGTCATTGTTGAGTCTGTACTTGTAACTTATCTATTGAGTCTCTGTTATCACTTCCTTTGATGAATCAAAATGAACCTACAAAATGCAGTTTTGTTCTGTAAAGCATACTGAGAAACATTTGTTTTACATAGTCTTTTAAAAATGAATTCACAAAAAAAGAAAAAACAAAGAAAAATGAATTCACTGTACAAATTGTACCATATTCCCTTTGAATTTCTGTACTTTTTTTCTCATCAATTCCAATGTTAATGTGAAACTAATACAGAGAACAGATTCAATGTATTTGTCAGATATAAATCTAAGAATATAATATTTCCTCCCTCTGCCCTCCTTCCTACCTTCAACTTTTCCTTCTTTCTTTCTCTTTTTCTTCCTTTCTTTACTTCTTTAATTTTCTTTCTTTCTCTCTTTCATCGTTTGAGATAGTATTTTTTAATTTACATTATTGTCAAAGCCTTAATGCTCCACTAAATAAAGAATTAGAGAAGTACAAAATAAAAAGACATTAGTACATAGGAAATTTTTATCTTCCATTATTTCATTAATTATATATAGCTTCTTTACATTGAATCATAGAATTTTTTTAAAAGAAGCACTAGAAAGAAAAGGGAAAAATAAAATAGTTGCCAGTTTTAAAATTAAACATTTGGTGATGTTCTTTAAAATTCTAACTAAAAAGCAGTTTTCTTATTATCTATTACTTTTATATCCTTTCTTTCCTCTTAAATTTTTATATTGAATTGAAACTACATGAATATTTGCTCACTTTATACCCATCTCTCATGTTTTCTTATCCATTTTTACTTCTTCTAATGAAATTGCCTCGTCTTTGAATAAGTTAAAAATAAATTTTCACCACTTGGGACACCCACCTCCCATATTGGAGTCCCTGAGCTCGAGTCCAGGCTACACTCCTCATTTCAGCTTCCCACTAATGCACATCCTTGCAGGTAGCAGATGATGGCTCAGTAGTTGCATCCCTGCCATCCACATTAGAGATTTGTATTGAGTTCTGGGTTTCAAGCTTTGGCCTGGCACTTGTGGGCATCTGGGGAGTGAACCAGCAGGTAGAAGATTTTCTCTTTCTCTTTCTCTGTCTCCCTCTACTTTTCAATTTTGTCTTTTAAGGTTTCTCTCGTTTTTTTTTTTTTTTTCTCCTCCTGGATTTTAATGGTCCATTGAAGATAATACCAGCATAGCATATTGATAGGTAAAATTATTAGCAAGCTTTGCTTTCCATATAATGTGAATTATAATGAAAAATTTTACTTAAAATCAACAAAGAATAAAAGTATCAAGTAACATTGTATAATTTACGAGATGAGCTTATTTACTAGTGTGGTGGGTATAACATAGGGTAAAGATACACCTCCTTATCTTGCCTGCTGCTTAATAATATCTGAAGATCCGTGAAACATTATACACACACTGAATAGAATGTAGCTCTTTCCAGCTCACTTTCATTAGTAACATCATTAACTATTAAATGTATGACCCCTATAATACAATCATTTCAAACCTGCGTATCCATACTATTCCAATCTTTGTTTGGCAGACAGGGGAAATAGGATTACATCCATGACTGTTACTTTCTCAATCACAGATGTTCAAGGGACAGATGCACATCTGATTGAATCTGGGAAATTAATTCTCACAAGGAATGTAAAACTGATGAATAAAGAAAACATATTTGAATGCTGTAGGTTTTAAATTGAAAATATCCTGTAGAGTAAGGTTCTTAGCCTAACATTTTGGGACGTACACAGGAAGTTATCCATAGTCAGATAAGTTAAAAGATCTGCATTGAGAAATAAAGTAAACAAACTTGCAGGAAGAAGAATGGCGAAAGAAGACAAATTTGCTTGCCACTGTTCCTATTTCTTACTCCAAAGCTTTTATGAGATCTGGTTATATTTCTTCCTTTTATGTGATAAGGACCTATCCTAATTACTCTAAATTCTTTCAGGAAGAGAGATGTCTTGTAAATCATTGCTGACCTGTATAATCGCAATGCTTAATTAGTTTAAGATTGAAAATGATAGGCAAGTATTGGATAATAACATTTGGAAGAAAATATTTAGTGTAAATGATGCTTCTTAAAGTTTGTTCCTCTTAATTAGTACTGAAAGATTCATATTCCTGAAAAACAAATGGGCATTGGTTAAATCAGTTATGAGATATCTCACCTGTAAGTCACTCCTTGAGACTGTCAAATGTTTCAACGTGAAACAGGGTCATCACTTGGGAATATTCCCTCTGCCTTTAGTGGTCTTTTCTTTCAATTCCTTTTTTTCATTTTTGTTGTGTATCCCTAATGCTCACTGGATTGTGACCATATGATAAAGACAAATGACAGAGAAAAAGGGAGAAGGAATGAGGGTGAGAGGGAGAGAGGGTGAGAGAGAAGAGACGAAGGAAATATCATTATATTCTCAGAATTATACCTACAAACCATATTGAATCTGTTGAAAACTAATTAAAATTAAAATAAAAAAGTTTTTTTTCTTTTTTAACAACATGCTAAATAGTTCTCTAGAAAAAGAGTGTTCTGATTCCTATTGAGACTTTAAGCAACTGGAATGAAAAGAAATAATGCCAAACCATTAATTGTGTTTAAAGTAAAAAAAAAAAGTCCATAAGTTAAAACCATTAATGTTTATTCTGCATTTTCTTATCCCTTAAGCACAGACTGTTTTCAGTCATTTTCATGATCTGATTTTCTATATATACTATGATTTTCTGGATGATAGACCTGTCATTGAAAAAACATAAGGACTTTACTTTTTTTTTCCAGTCTTTGGTTCTTTCCTACCATGCTGCTCAGCATATTGCTAGCATGGAGAAAAGATCAAAATTCAAAACTTATAATACAGTTTCTACTGAATGCATAAGGCTTTTGTACTATCAAGAAGCTCAGAAATCCTAAGTGGAGCCACCCTAAGTTGGGGAGTGTGTGCAATTAGTTTTATCTTTGTAAAGATTGATTAACAATAAACTTCTGTTTCCTTTCAGGAACTCTGCAGGGAAACCCCATGGAAAGAGTTTCTTCGCTCCTGTTAGGAGACATTGAAGATAAAGGAAATGACCTTCTTCCTTCTGACATTCTTGATATAATTCTTGGAGTTCATGGTAAAGGAGGAAGGCACCCAGAGAAAATCAGAACAGTAGCCCTCATTTGCTAGACTTGAGGTCTGTCTTATCTCTAAACATTTTTAAAGTGAAATATCAAATACCTTATTTTTTAAGCCAATTTAATTGAAGTTTGACATTTCTTTGTTTAGATTAAAATGCAATATGAAGAATATAACTATTCTAACTATAGAAGTAGAATTTTTTATATACACGTGCATTAGAATACGTCTTTGATATGTTACATTTAGTTCTATTATTATAGATAATTTTAAAATTACACAAAAACAGTTTTCACAAGCACCACTTTATCTCAGTTCCTCTGCTTGATAGTCTCTTGTTTCCAATGCAGTTGGGTGCGTAAAGTCTAATAGCGAGGAGAAAGCAGCTTTCAGAGAAGATTAGCAACACTGCCAAATAATTTATTTCCGAAAATAGTGCACGAAGTCACTACTTCTTTCTTCTTTCTTTTAGCCCTTTTTTGAGGTAAACACTTTAAAGGTGTTCCTATTTCATAATCATAGCATTATGGATTTCGTTTGTGGAGCTTTTTGTGAAGATTTTCAATTTTACAGTGGCTTTTAAGTGATTGGCAATGAGTCGTGGAGAGCGCTACAACTCTGAGAACACACAGCACTGCACTTGGCAGAGAGAGATGCCATACTTCAAAAAAGTTTTCCTGTATTAAAATGCAAATTAACATATTTTCCTGACTTCAAATTAATTTAGCAAGTTATTGAATATTCAAAGAATAGATGCAAAGTAGAACATAGTTTGCTTTATAAAAAGAATGAGCTTACATTATGATTTTCTATATGTCACTTAATTTGTTTTATATTTGTAGAACACAGTTGTTGATAGTTTGTATTACTGTTTTATGTACACACTCACACACACTCCCTGCAGAATAGTGAAGCATGAATAATGTAGTTCTCCTTGACGTTCCTGGTTCACCACTCAGAGGCTTGTGTTTTCCTTGTGAAAGACATTTTCCTGCTTATTTGGAATGGGCTGCAAGGACAATAATGCTGGATATAGGCAACTTCAAGGTAATTAGCACCAGTCATCAACAGGCTAGGAAGTTGCCAAAAGAAAGGGTTGTGCCATTCACTGAGAAAATCCACAGCTGATGTCTGTTGGCAGATTGCCCATAATCATGAAATTTCCAAGTCAAGTTAAGGGTATGGGAGCTATAATGTTACACTGAGTCCCTCAATCAGAAGGGCTTGTGTTGGCTTTATTCGTCTTTTGTTGTCATCTTGAATTTTGTTTTGTACTGAGCCCCCAAATTTTTGTAGCTAGTCCTGCCTGGTTTTGCTATGCTTAAGTCTTAAAATGTAAATAATTAGACAATGAAATCAAAGGTTGAGATGAGACTGAAGGGGATCATTAGACATTGACCGTTAAATAAGATGGGAATGAAGTCAGGTTTGCATTACAATCAATAATATGAACTTTCAAGATACCACATATTCTAGGTACTTGGATATTATTCTGATAAGGAGGAGTGACATGTTAATGAAAGGTATCTTTTTTATCTTGTTACATATTTTTAAAGTGATAAGCTTATTTAAATTTTTAAACAGATACTTTATTCTTGTGAAATAAGGACTTTTGCAATTAACAAAAACAGAAGCAAACAAACAGCAAAAACTTTGAAAAGATAGATAGCGTAAGAAAGTCTCTTTCTGTCCCACTGTTCTGCCTTTCAAATTTATATATTTTCAAAATACTGTTATATTTGTTTCCTGGAGTTCCTATTACAAAATCCCATAGACTGAGTGGCTTCTCAGAGTTTTGTAGGCTGGGAGTCTTTGATCGAGGTGTCAGCCAGTTTTTGCTGAGGCCTCCCTCCTTGGCTTACAGCTGTTCACCTTCACAGTGCATCCTCGAAAACTCTTTCCACTGTACTTTAGGAGGCCTGGTGTTTTGTTCTCTGGGTCTAATTTTCCTCTTATTATATTAACAGTCAGATTGGATTACAATCCACAATAATGGCCTTGTAATTGTAACTTGATCACATCTTTAAAAGCACTATCTCCAAAGCGGGATACACAGCAGACCTATAGAATGGCAGAAGTCCTAAACAGCACTCTGGCCTCAGAATCAGCCCTTACGGCATTTGGATCCAGCTAAAAAGCCCATGAGGGTATTTCAGGCATGGAAAGCCAAAACATTCTGGCAAAAAAAAAAAAAAAAAAAAAAAAAAAAAAAAAAAAAAAAACACACAAACAAACACAAAACCCTAAATGAAAGTGTAAGTGAGATCCCAGTGGAAAGAACAGGCCATCAAAGAAGAGGTACCTTTCTCTGAAGGGAGGAGAGAACTTCCAATTTGACTATGACCCTGTCTAAATAAGATCGGAGTTGGCGAACTCAAAAGGCTTCCATAGCCTTAGCAGCTCATGACAGGAGCCTCACGTGATTACTGATGCCATAAACAAGAGTGTCATTTTGTTAAGTCAACAACAGGAGTCACTCTGCACTTACTCCCCATGTAGGATCTCTGTCCTTAATGTATTGTACTATGTGAGTTAACGGTATAACTAGTACTCAAACAGTACTTTATACTTTGTGCTTCTGTTCTGTGTGGGTGCAAACTGTTGAAACCTTTACTTAGTATATACTAAATTGATCTTCTGTATAGAAAGATAATTGAAAATGAATCTTGATAAAGAATGGGATGGACCGGTGCACGGCTCACTAGGCTAATCCTCCGCCTTGCAGCGCCGGCACACCAGATTCTAGTCCCGGTCAGGGCGCCAGATTCTGTCCCAGTTGCCCCTCTTCCAAGCCAGCTCTCTGCTGTGGCCAGGGAGTACAGTGGAGGATGGCCCAAGTCCTTGGGCCCTGCACTCCATGGGAGACCAGGATAAGTACCTGGCTCTTGCCACTGGATCAGCGCGGTGTGCCAGCAGCAGCGTGCAGGCCGAGGAGGCCATTGGAGGTTGAACCAACGGCAAAGGAAGACCTTTCTCTCTGTCTCTCTGTCTCTCTCTCTCACTGTCCACTCTGCCTGTCAAAAAAAAAAAAAAAAAGGGATGGTTGTGGGTGGGAGGGAGGTTATGGGGGAAAAAGCCGCTATAATCCAAAAGTTGTACTTTGCAAACTTATATTTATTAAATAAAAGTTTACCAAAAAAGCCTCATCTCCAAACACAATCAACTTTCTGAAGTCTGGAGATTAGAACTTTCCTCCATGAATATTGGAGGAACACAATTCAACCTGCATGGACTTATATGTGGCAAATATTTTTCAATGTGCTAAAATTGGAAATAGAAGAATAGTAGAAGTACATCTATGAAATATTAATGAACTACCAAGTTATATATTCTCTGTATGGTAGGCGCATACAATGGAGGACCTATTTATTTTCCAAAGAATCTAAACAATCCAGCTGTTGAAGTTAGAAAAATATGAATACACTGGATTGGAAAAGCTGATATCAGAAAAAAAGAACAAATCAATGATGTCAATTAACTATCAATTCAAAATGAGGAAGTGCTGCTCAGCCTTGTAAAATGGACACACACTGTTTTTGTTTGGTTTTGTTTTGGACAGGCAGAGTGGACAGTGAGAGACAGAGAGAGAGACAGAGAGAAAGGTCTTCCTTTTGCCATTGGTTCACCCTCCAATGGCTGCCGCGGCTGGCGCGCTGTGGCCAGCACATCATGCTGATCTGAAGCCAGGTGCTTCTCCTGGTCTCCCATGCGGGTGCAGGGCCCAAGGACTTGGGCCATCCTCCACTGCACTCCCGGGCCATAGCAGAGAGCTGGCCTGGAAGAGGGGCAACCGGGACAGAATCCGGTGCCCCGACCAGGACTAGAACACGGTGTGCCAGCGCCGCAGGTGGAGGATTAGCCTATTGAGTCACAGCACCGGGCGATGCATACTGTTTAACATCTATGAGCCTTGTTTTCCTTTCCTGCATAAAGCAATTTAGAAGAACTGTGGCAGAGACCCCACTCCTTTCAAATGCCCATCTCCTATCTTTCTTTATTAATAGTAACTTCGATTTTCAAGTAGAAAAATTTCTGCTCAATTGCCAATCTATTTTCTCTAGGTCCTCCTGCAGCCTGTGTTCAATCCATGCTTAAGATTAGGTTCTCCTAAGCAAATAAAGCTGCTGGATTCATGCAGTCACCTGGATGAGTCCTCCCAGGGGGGACTACACTTGTCACCTCTGCTTTCCCC